TCTCCTTCTCCCTCTCTCCCTCTCCCTTCTTCTTTCTCTGTGTTCTACTTCCTCTCCCTCTCCTTATCCTTCTTCCTCTCCCTTACTTTCATCCTAACTCCACAGCTGTTGATGATTTGCAAGACCATGTGCCTGTACTTAAGGTAGAGGGAGACTTGAGGAAGCTAACATAATAGCTAGAAAGTCAATATTTAACCTAACACCACAGTCCACCCCGTGACTTTTGTAGCCATTATTTCTCATTATCTGAAGGATCAGCCTTTCTCTTACCATCATCTATGTTCAGGAAAGGGCAACCCAGGAAGACAAAGTAAAGTATTATAATGAGATTTTACAGCAAAGAGCTGGCGTCGTAAAATCAAAGGGGCTGAACTCGCTCAGCATTTCTTGAGTTCAAGGAACTGAAGAACAAATTCAAGCCTCAAGTTGCAATACTTAAGGATGTTTGGGCAGAATATTGAATGATCCAGGAAACATTAAAAGAAGATGGAAAAAGTATACAGAGTCATTGTACCAAAAGAAATTGGTGGACACAGAAGAATTTCATGAAACAATGTATGAGCAAGAGCAATGAAGGAAGAAGTTCAAACTGCTCTGAAAGAATTGGCAAAAAACAAGGCCCCAGGAGTTGATGGTATACCAATTGATATATTTCAGCAAACAGACACTGCCCTAGATATGCTCAACAAGTTGTGCCAAGAAATCTGGAGGACAGCCACCTGGCAGGCTGACTAGAGGAGATATATATTTGTTCCCATTCCAAAGAAAGGTGATGCAACAGAGTGTGGAAATTATGGAACACATTATCATGCAAATAAGATTTTGCTGAAAATTATCCTAAAATGACTGGAACAGCATATCAACAGAGAACTGCCAGAAGTGCAGGGTTTAGAAAAGCCTGAGATACTAGGGATATTGTAGGTAATGTTAGATGGATCTTGGCTGAAAGCAGGGAGTACCAGAGGAATGTCTGTGTTTCATTGATTATGCAAAGGCATTTGACTGTGTGGATCACAACAAACTGTGGCTGACTCTGAGAAGAATGGGAATCACAGAACACTTGATCATGCTAATATGAAACGTTGGACCAGGAGGTAATCGTTGGAACAGAACAAGCGAACACTGCATGGTTCAAATTTGGGAAGGGTGTATGCCAGGGATGCATCCTGTCTTCATACCTTTTCAATCTATATGCAGAACAGATTATCTGGGAGGCTGGACTCTTTCTAGGAGAAATGTGACATCAGAATTGAAGGAAGACTCATCAAAAATCTGCATTATGCAGATGACACAACCCTCCATGCTAAAACTGAGGAGGACCTGAAGTGCTTTCTGCAGAAAGCCAAGGACTGCAGCCTTCTATATGGATTGAAGCTCAACATCAAGAAAACAAAGTTTCTCACCACTGGGCTGACTGGCAACATCATGACGGATGGTGAAGAGATTGAGACTGTTAACAGCTTTAGTTTGCTTGGCTCCACAATCAACACTCTTGGCACCAGCAACCAGGAAACTAAAAGATAAATTGCATTGGGAAAGTTTGCTGTCAGAGATCTCATCAAAGTACTGAAGAGCAATGATATCGGTCTGGAGACCAAGGTGCATGTGATCCAGGTCATAGTCATTGCAATCACTTGCTATGCATCAGAGAGCTGGACAATGACTAGGGATGATAGAAGGTTAATTGGTGCCTTTGAGCTGTGGTGCTGGAGAAGAGTATTGAATATACCATGGACTGCTAGGAGAACAAACAGGTTTGTCCTGCAGAGGGTGAAACCAGGCTGCTCCTTGGAGGCAAGGATTCTGAAGCTTCATCTGACATACTTTGGACATGTTACAAGGAGGGACCAGTCTTTGGAGAGGGATGTCATGCTTGGGAGGGTGAAGGGACAGAGTAGGAGAGTAAGAACCTTCATGAGACAGATTGATTCAGTGACTGGGGTAATGGAAATAGTTGTGTCAGGGACAGTGAGATTGGCACAGGATAGGGCAGAGTTTAGGGCTGTTGTAAATAGGGTCGCTATGAGTCGCAGGTGACTCTTCGGCACATAACAACAAAATGTAAAGCAGCTACTTCATTCCTTATGTATCAGAAATTTTAGTCTTAAGTTTATGAATTTCAATTTGTTGTTTTTGTATTCCTTCTCATTTTCTACCCACATTATTTATTTGGGCTTGCTTTAAAAAAAAAAAAAAAGCAAGAACAGACCAAAAAACCCTTCTAGAACCCTTCGTGAAGCGTTCCATATTTTTAGTTTTGGTACAAAAAAAAAAATAAAAGACCCTAGTAGTGGAGAGACTATGGCATTGCTGTGGACAAATGGTGGCAATGTGTGACCTGAGGCTTTTTGTATTTGTGTTGGTCACAGTTAAAGATTTGGCTGTTCTTGCTGAATGTTTGAAGGAGAAACTGCCTTATAATGGCTCTGAAGCAAACTTTGCTGCATGATTTAACTATAACTACTCTGACTGCTAAGAGAACAAACAGATTTATCTTAGAGAGGGTTAAACCAGAATGCTCCTTGGAGGCAAGGATTCTGGGGCTTCGTCTGACATACTTTGGTCATGTTGTTAGGAGAGACTGGTCCTTGGAGAGGGACATCATGCTTGGGAGGGTGGAGGCCAGGCGCCGGAGGGGAAGGTCCTCTGGGAGATGGATTGATTCGGTGACTGGGGCAATCAGGATGAATGTGTTGGAGGCAATGAGATTGGCACAGGACAGAGCAGAGTTTAGAGCTGTTGTACACAGGGACACTATGAGTCGCAAGCGACTCAACGGCACGTAACAACAAACAACAACACCCTGAGGCCAACCTTGCTGGATGATTTAGATTTGACTGCTGAACTGAAACAGGAGCCTGAACTTACTGAAGAATTGTGCCATGGAACTGTTAGGCTAAAACCTGAACTTGTATTGTGAGATATTCTTTGCCTCCCCCATTCATGTCCATAATAAACCTCAATGTTGCTACTATATATCTGTGAGTCTGTGTCAGCAATGAATGAATACATGAACCTCTTGCTGCTGCCGGGGCTCTACAGGCAACATGTGGCTGGTTCTTTATCTGCTTTCTGCTATGGGGCACTGAAAGGGTTATTCTTACTCCCTCTGGCCTTTCAGAGAGATGCTCATGGCCCTCTTCCCTATATCCTGTTTTCTTCTCCTTAGACAAAAACTAATAGAGCAAACTAAAGGCAATACATGTTTCTCCTATTTTTAGGATATTCGTTTAAGAGCTGGTTATGCAGTAACGCTTTTTGCCTTCAATAATCGCTTTCAACAATACTTAATATTAGAGAATGGAGAAATTACAATATCTCTTTTTGAACCTTTTCTTGAATCAACAATTGAAACTGAGAAGGCAATGGCAGCATTTCAGGTATAAAGTTAGATGATATAATTTTAATTTGTTTAATGAAGACTTGGAAAATTGCAAAAACTTGGAGATCTAGAAATAGGTTGCTCATTTGCAAAATTTAACATGTATTTTGAACAACCTTCTACCTCATAAAAACATTAATAATCTATGGCCATCAAGTTGACAATGTTTTCTTAATCTATGTGTAATTTTACAAATTTAAAGACACTTCTACCTTTGCATCTTATTTGATGCTTATAACTCTGTGAGGTAGGTGGTCTGTGTCCATCTTCTCATGATGGGAAGATAAGATATGATATGAGGATATGATAGCATTTAAGACAGATTTTCTAACTCTGTAGTTTTAGTGGAACACACTGATTCTTAAACCCTGTAACAATTATATGTTCTGGGTCCTTCTTAATCTGATTATTTCTCCCTTCTTTTTTTCTCCCCTATACCCTTTACAAAAGGTACTTTTTTTTTTTGAGCGCAAAAGCTGCAAAATAATACAAAACATGTGATCTATTATGGCCATTGTAATAGCCAGATATAGACAAGTACTCTCAGCTGTAGTCTGTTACTTCCTTCTACTGAAAGCCATCAAATATCTTCCCCTCCAAAAGAAATACAACCCAAATGAGCAAATTAATATGGGGGAAAAAAATCCCAACAAAACACAAATCTCAATAAAAGCTTCACTGGTGAAACTACGTAGAAGATATTCAATGTTCTATGTGTCTTTTTTCCCCAGATTATCATATTAGCTAAAGTTATTGTAGATGTGGATCACATTGTTTTGTGTGCAAGAGGTGTTACTATTTTAGTTGAAAGTCTATATTCAAGCGAGGCCAACACTATTATCTTGGCAGGTAAGGAATAACTAAACATTAAGTATATCCACATAAAGTTCTTTTTAAAAGAATGTATTCTAAGCAATACTAAAATAATAAGCATGTAAGTTATCACTTGGATAGTAAAATGAATTTTTTCTTTTTTAAAATTATTAAATTTTATTAATTTTAATGAACATTTACAGAGATTTTGAGTTTTCATTCATTCATTGTTGCACTATTTTCTCTACCCTCCTCCCCAGTTAGTTCTTCTTCCCCCCCCCCTTGGAAGTCTGTTTTAATTGTCCAATTGCCACGGTGCTTGTCAAAACCAGTTCTGATTAATCTCCTTTGTCAGTGTGTCCTTTGCCATTCCCTATCACTTCTCCCTGAGAGAGACTTCACCCTGATTCATAAGGAAAAGGGGATGGCGTATTCTCTTAGCTACTTCCTGCTGAAAAGGGACGCTGTAGGTTTCAGGGTAAAGATCTTCTCTCACTACTCTAAAGGGCACCTTTGGCAATAGGAAACACATAGACTATTATGGAGATTGATTTTGGAGTTTAGATGCACTGTTTTCAATTGTGCTTGGCCATACCTCTTTATATCCTTGAAGATGTATCATGGAAGTGTTGCAGCCTAGAAGACACAAATTTAACTAACAAGTTAAAAGTACATGAGTCAAAAATTAAAAAGCAATAATATGCCAAGTAGAGGCTCTAATAGTGGCACAAATCAAGTTACAGAGCGAAGGTAGTTCTTACAATAAAAGGCCTATTGACCAGCACTTTGTCTATTATAGTATAAAGGTTAGGAACCACAAGATGTAGAGGCTCAACTATGTCATTTATTGTTCTTAAGTCCTGAAACAAATTCCATCTACCACTGGGTTGTTTTACAACTGGGAAGTCCGCATGCCAGGCAGAGGTGAAGTAAGGAACTGATTATGAGGTTTTCCGTCAATTCTAACAACTAAGAAATAGTGAGAAGAGTTGGGACTTCGGAAGGCTTTTAGGACCAATTAGTAGGCTCTTGTGTCCAGGAGAAAACGAATATACTTACCAGTAATGTTAATGCTCACCCACAGCTCTTCTGGGAGGATCTAATCATTGAAGCGTCCTCCTTTGTTTCCAGCTGGGAGCTGGGGTCTGTCAGTCCTGTCAGCTACGAGGACCTGATGAGGGCCACCCTTGCCAAGTGTCCTTCAGATCCACACTTAAAGCAAGTGAGTGGGAGCTTCCTCTCTACTCCCTTGCCTATCTGTGGCTCTCGTCTGTGACACTGTCTACTAAAGTGGCCCAGCTTTCCACAGTGGAAGCAATTCTGACCTCCTTTATTACCTTTGGGTGGCACTGTATATGAGTAAGACTTCCTTTTCCTGACACAGGCCCTAAACTGGCAGCAATAGCTGCCCCAATAATTTTGGCCATTCTCTGGTCTTTTCTCTTCCCTCTAGATCCCAGTTATTAAAAGAGGGAAAAATTTAAACAAATGTATAACAAATAATTTTGAACATTATAATCTTTTAAGCTTAAGGCTAGAAATATTAACAATATCATCATTTCCAATCCAGAGATACATGTTCCAATAGAGTTCCTATTTTCCATAAATGGTTTTGGTAAAAGGAATGTTGTAAATGTGGATACATTTCCAGTATTCCTCCTCCATGCCACGATATAGTGTTATTAGCATGAGTAGTTATAAATCCATTGCCATCCTTACTCTAACTTAATTCTTTTTTTAAAAAATGTAAAATGAATTCTTGTAAGCATTTTTGGAATAAGTCTACATGTAACAATGGGATTCTGAGCTCCATCCTAAATGGAAGTTGAGTAATTTTAAACACAATCTTTTTACTTTCTTGTCTACTTATTTTTTAAAAAATTATACTAGTTTATTTACAAAATTTGAATACATCGTTTTTCAGATCAAATTCTTCCAACCAGATTCTTCCAATTTTTCTCATTCCCCCCCCCCATCAAATTGTACAACCCAACTTCTATTTGTCTAGGGTATTAAATGACTATGACACATCCGTGAATTACCAACAGAATTAGCACACTGATTTAGTTATCCAGTGGGTGGCAAATTTAGACTTAATTACTCTGGTATCCTTTTAACTAGTTGTACTCATCATAAGAGTTCTTCTCATTGCTACAGAAGACAGAACAAAGCGAAATTTTCCAATGGCATAATTGAGACTCTTGATGTTAGCTACGTGACTATCAACTCTCAACCTCATCCTCTAGCCAGCTTATAATATCAACAAATCATCTCAATGCTGTCAAATCAGAACCAACTCATAACTGATGTGCTAGCAGATTTTCAAAAGGCTATAAATTGCATGATTGGCCATTTCCCATCTTTCTTCTTTGGAGTAGAGCTGGTGGCTTTGAAACATCAGTGAGCCTTTGGGTTATCAGCACACTCTATGGATTATGCCAGCAGAACTCCATTAAAAACTCAAACTTATGGCCATCAAGTTGAGTAGGTGAAGAAAAATACAATATTTGTTACTGTCTCAATTTATCACTTTCTCAAAGCAACATAAAATAATGTAAGAACCAGAGCCCCAAAATAAGGTGGTATTTTCTAACTGAAATGGATCACTGGAGGCACCTAAGGAAACTCTTCTTGCTGTCACAGAATAGAATTTTGTTTTTGCCTTTTTAATGTATCTTTTTTATGTTGCCATATTTTTTAATACATAAAATTTTTATTTTACACTGGTTTACTTACAAAATCTGTATACATTGTTTTTCATGCTGAATCTTTCCCATTTCCTTAGCCCACCTATTTTTAATGGAGTATATGAACAGATTCTTGCAAGATTCTTATATAATGTAATTTAATTTTTACAATTTTTGACAAAATATCAAGCTGTAATATTAAATAAAATTTCTTTTATATTTAGTATGTAAATGCTTTTTCCTAGCATTTCACTAGTAAGAACACATGAAATTCAACTGTTCTATAATATTTACATCATAGTACACACATCAGTTAATGCAATGATACAATAGTTGTTTTCTTGTTTAATTTATAGGAAATTTAATAGCTAGCCTGGCTCATTGTAGAGCTGGTATTCCTGAAGCATTTACCACCTTGGGTACAGTCCAGCGGCTATGCTACCATTTATATTCAGAGCAAGAGGAGGTAAAAAAACAAAACTAATTCTAAAATGTAACATGCTAAAAACATAATTTGCCTCTTTAGTTTATTTTTTCACAAGTTAGCTGTATTTTATAGTTGATGCTACTTAGTTACATTCTTTTTCTAGTATTTATTAGTTAAGCCTAATGTTCAGAATTCTTGCTCCTTTAAAAATAAACATTTGCATTATTTTCAAGAGTTAAAATTAGGTGGGCCCTAGAATTTATATTTTTAACAAGTTGCCAGGTGATGCTAAAGCTGCATGACACTGTAAAGTATGTCAACCTCTGGTACCCTGCTTTGAAGTCAGTTTGTGTGCCTTCATTCTATGGACTTTTAAATGTTCCTAACTATTAAATTATGTAAGAATTTCTTATGAAAAAATTAATTATTTGAAGATCAAAGGTTAGAGTATTTCCTTCAAAGAGAAAGAGTGAAACATTTCCTTGAGTTCTCTAGCCTGATACTGGTTTCTTAGTTTTTATTAGTGGAAAACTAAGTAGATTTCCTTTAATTTTAATCTATACTCTGTTTCCTTAGACTAATATTTCTAGTCATGTTTTCCTATTATTGTCACCCAGGCTGTCTTGAAAAATTCCCACACTCAGGCGGTAGCCCAGAAAAATTAAGTCAGAATTAATTTTGCGATCCAGGCATGAGTAGTTTTCAAAGCTGCTCAGGTGATCGCAATGCACAGCAAAGATTGAGATACATTGTCTTATTCTCATATAGCACAGTAGTTCTTACTCTGATAGCATATTGGGAACATCTGTGACACTTAAAAAAATTAGTTAGGTTTAATTGGATGGAGTCTGGGCTTTTCACTACCCCACACCCTCCACTGGGTGGAGTTAGGGCTTTTTCTTTCTTTTTTTAAAAAATATAAACTTTCAAAAAAATTACAAACTTTCCAGCTCTCCAAGTGATTAAAAAATGGCCAAGGTTCAGAACAACTAAAAATCAAGAGCATCCAACTTCTCTAGAGGTGCATCATAGCTTGCCTTCAGCTTAGCGTATATGCTTGTATCTACTTGAAACTTTCAAATGAAGTCTCTATTAAGAATGCTGGGTTGAACATTTTTAAGACCAAACAATTGTTTTTTTCTTTATTTAGGTCCGAACAGCTTGCTCTTGTGCTCTTGGTTACCTAACTTACAATGCAAATGCCTTCCGCATCCTTTTACAGGAATGTAGAAACAAGCCTAACCAATTCATTCGTATTAAAAATAACATCAGCAAAGATGCAAGTATTAACCCTAGATTTTTAAAGGAATATGAGATACAGCAAAAAGTGGGACTTCCTTCATTAAGGTATTGTGCTTATATTTGAAATCACTATAGTGATTGACCATCAGAGGAGCTTTTTTAATATTGTCCAACGAAACTTATCTTAGACATGAATAAATTCTCTGGATACCAGAGGATAAACTTTATTTTAAATGTTCACTACCAAAATCTGTTCTTAATACAATTTAGTGTCATCAGAATTATGGGTACAGATAAGAATACAACTAGATTATGGGAATCTTTTCTGTCTAAGATTATTCACATTCCAGAAAAGTTTTTGACAGGCTAGCCTCATATATGATCCTGGAATCCACTCTTGGGTAGACTATGGTACATTGGAGAGTTCTGAATCAACCAGCAATGCTACCATGACCTTCACATCAAATAGTTTCTCTAGAATTGATTCAAAGTTGGGCCGACTCCAGTTGTTAGAACAGGGCTAGTGTATGATGATGTTTGCTAGACATTTACTCAGAGTATTTTGCCTCAAAGAATAATTTCCTTATAATGTGCATATTTTCTTCTAGAAATATAACAGAAATAGAAATAGGCGTTAAAAACTGCCTCTGTTGCATAGTGCCAGTTGTACTAACCAAAGGCTGGATGTTTCTGGTGGTTTAAATTCATCAGTGGCTCACCCAGAGAAAAATGGGCAATCTCCTCCCATTATGAGTAATCATCTTGGAAACCTGATGTATGATTGCTATGATTCAGAGTCAATTACATGTACTCAGGATGTACTATCAACTCTATGATAAGGGAAAATAATATAATACAATAATGTATTATGGTATCATAAGTCACTTTTAAATATATAGAGAAATGAGTACATCTTCATGGTCACTTTAATTTAAAAGTCTTTGAAAATTGAAAAACCTAACCTGGTTCATCATCTTACATAATAACCTAGGAATCTAAACCATAATTTGCTGTACTTGATAATGTTAAAAAATCATTGGTTCAAAAAAGGATCAATAACCTAACTTTAAGAGATAAACCACAAAATTTTAGAGGAGGTGACCTTGTATTTGGCAATAGATTCTTAGATATGATAATAGTAGCAAAAGAAAAAATAAACTAGTCTTCAACAAAAGTAAAAGTTCTTACATCAAAGGGCTTTAGCAAGGAAATAAAAATTCAAACCACCTACATAATGGAGAACATATTTGGAAATTATTTTATGTGATAAGAGCTTAATATCCATAATGTATAAAAGAATTTAACAGAAACACAGCTCAGTTTATAAAACCCCACCAAACCAACCACAAGGGGCTTGAAAATATTTCCTTAAAGAAGCTAGACAGATGGCCCATAAGCACATGAACATGATTAATATTAATAGTCATAAGGGAAATGCAAATCAAAACCACAATGAAATACCACTTCATACTAGAATGTGATAAAATGTAAAAAGAGCAAGGATCACATGGGGACAGCCATATTTGACCTTTATCAGTTAAAAAAAAGGAAATGGTCCCCATCAACAACATAAAATCAATTCCTATGAAGTCAGACATGTCCCCAATGTTCCTGTACCTCTTTCTACTCATCCCAGCACCAATTTTATTACTTACCTGGGTCCAAAATCTGTTATGATAGCGCACAGACCACACAGAACCATATTGGGGAAGTTAAGAGGTTATAATCCAGGTAACAGCAGAATTCAGTTAGTATAGCATCTGAAATATGCTAACAGGCACCTCAGCCTTGAGACTTGTGGCTTAAGGCCAGTGTTATAAAGTTCTCAGTCCAATATTGAGTGGCTTTCTCTGCTCCTCCCCCCAAGCTGTCCAACACACTTGGGCAAAGGCTCTTCATTTAGCTCTCATTCTGTCTGGGAGGGGGTAAAGGGGAAAAGTAGTAATTCTAAGGCAACTCCATCTCACATTGGTTCTGATTCTCTGGCTCAGTTATGGCTGTTGCCATAGGTGTAACTGAAACAAGAATTTCTGAGTCCAAAGGACATTTTACATTTTCTTACTGTTTATTTATTTTTTATTAATTAATTGGGAAGAACAGAAAAATTTGCAGTTATTGATGCAACAATGAATGAATGGAATTCCAACTCCTTGCTATTGTAAACAAAGCCACGATAAACATGGGAATGCATATATCTACTTGGATGTCATTTATGGTCTCTTTAGGGTATATTCCCAGTAGTGGAATTGCTGGGTCAAATGGTATCTCTATTTGCAACTTTTTGAGAAAGCGCCACATCACTTTCCACAGTGGTTGTTACTGTTTATTTTTTACTGGCAGGTAAGGTAATCTTCTGCCTGCTGCTAGGATCCCTTAATTTAATGGTGAGATTAGTCAATCCCCTTGTAAATTCACAGGATTGGACATACCTTTTGTGGGTAGGCTAATATGCTCTGTTCACATATTCCTGATCCACATGGTCAAGTCAGTCAATGGCTAGGAAAGTAATTTTGAAAAATAAACTCATAACTCCACACATAGGTATAACATTATTTGTCCTGAAATAAAACAAAAACAGCCAAATTATTTAAGTATTTCATCAAAGAAGCTACACAAATGGAATGTATATGTTAAAACAGAAAAATTGGCAGTTATTGATGATATGAGTGTAAAATGGGGTGACCATTATAAGTTTGACAACTCCTAATAAATATATAGAGCTACCGTGTTGTTGTTGTTGTTGTTAAGTGCCACATGGAGTTGAGTACAACTCAGAGTGACCCTATGAACAATGGTTCTGAATCCTATCACATGACATCATCTCTCTATTTGACCAACTTGAGCCCATTGATGAGCTCACTGTATCAATCCACCTGGTTGAGGGTCTTTCTCTATTTCACCATCCCTCAGCTTCCCCAAGCATGATGTCCTTCTTCAAGGAATGGCCTCTCCTAGCAATGTATCCAAAGTATGTGACATGAAGGTTTATCATCTTTGCCTCCAAGGAACACCGTGGCTGCACCTTCTCCATAGAACATTCAATACTCTTCTCCAACAACACATTTTGAAGGCTTCAGTTCTTCTTCTGTAATCCTTATTTATCCATTGTCCAGCTCTCAGCAGCATAGCAAGTGATTGAAAAGAGTATAGACCGAATCATGCACACCTTTGTCCTCAAACTAACATTATTGCTTTTCAATTATTTGGAGAGACCCTTGACTGCAAACTTTCCCAGTGTAATATGTCTCTTGATCTTCTGTTGGTACCAACTGTATTGGTTTTGGATCCAAGTAAGATGAAGTTAATGACAGTGTCAATTTTTTCTGCATCAGCCATGATGTTGCCTATTGCTTTAAAGGTGAGATATTTTGTTTATTGATGTTAGCATGCAATCCATTTTGAAGGCTATTGTCTTTGATCTTCTGCAGAGTACTCCTTGTAGATAAAGATGACAAAACTTCATCTCTCATACTTTGGACAGGTAGCTAGGTGAAGGTATTCCTTGGAAAGGGATATCATACTTGGGAAGATGGAGTGTCAGCAATGGAGAGTAAGACCCCCAATGAGATGGACTGACAAGACAGCTTCAGTAATGGGCTTGAGTGTGTAAGAGATGTTGAAGATGGCACAGAAAAAGGCAAGGTTCAGGTCAGCTACTCAAAGGGTTGCTATGAGTCTTACTCAACCTGAGGACACCTAACAACAACAACATGTTAATTAGATGGATCTTTGGTGGTCTTGTGACAAGGAGCTGCACTGCCAACCCCAAGACGCACACACAGTTCAAATCCACTAGCTTCTAAGCAGAAGAAAAATGGGCAGTCTCATCTCATGCAATTTACTGCCTCTGAAAACCCACTGGAGAGTTAGCTGTGAATCACTCCCAACTCAACGGCACATAACAACAATCATAATATTTTTATTATAAGAATCTCTGATGGCTTCGTGGTAAGGAGTTGCCCTGCTAATGAGAAAGATGAGCAATCTCTTCCTGTGCAATTTAACTGCCTCTGAAAACCTACTGGAGGGTCAGCTGTGAGTTGGTTCCAACTACACGACACATAGCAACAACTACATTTATTATATTTGGTGTATTTCTGTGTCTAGGTAAGTTTCTGATGTTGTCATACATGTTAATTTTGTAATGTTGTCTGTTGTTGGGTTTCAGTGCAAAGAACTTCCTTTAGATGTCTTGTAAGGTTGTTATAGTTTCACAGATTCTCTTAGTTTATCTGATAATGCCCTAATTTCACCATGATATTTAAGAGATCTTTTTTCTGGGCATAGAATTCTTGGTTGGCATTTTTTTTCCTTTCAGGGTTTTATATCCATTATTCCATTTCTTTCTTTGTTTCTGCTGAGAAATTGGAGCTTAATACTATTGGTTCTCATTTGTAGGTAATTCTTGATTTTTCCCAAGCTATTTTCCATTTTCTTTGTTTTAATTTTGGAATATTTACTTATGAGATGCCATGGTGTTTTTATTTTTAGATTTGTTCTGTTTGGGATTCTCTCAAGTTCCCGAATGCATATTTTAAATTTTTTGTATTCAGGAATTTTTCATCCAGCAAATCTTCAATTCTAACACTCTTTCTCTCTCTAACACATTCTCTAATACTCTCTCTCTCTCTCTCTGTGTGTGTGTGTTCTCAACTATTCTGGAATTTCAATCCACTTGATTCTGTTCTACATAATTCTTGTGCTTTCTTTCCATTTTTACCGATTGTTCCTCTAGTTGATTGCCTTTGAGGCTTTGTCCTCTCTTTCACTAACTAAGCCTCTGTTCCATTTCTTCAGTTCTACTTTTTTGTCCTTCCAAAACAGAATTGATTTCTGAAATTTGTCTTAATATTTGGAATTTCAATTTGAATTTGCTGGTTTCTTATTGCTTTAATTTTTTTTCTTTTCCTTTCTCTAACTTGATCTTGCATAGTTTTTAAAATTTTACTGTATGTGGATGACACTTATCTTTCTTTTGAATTCCTTATCAGGAAGTTCCAATAGTTTTTCTTCCTCTGCAATGTTTTCTGGTTCTTTACTTTGACCACTTTGTCATACCATCTTATCCTGATTTTTTAAAGTAGTATAAAGCTATCTGTTGCCCC